AGGCTTCAGTAAGAAAATTAAAGTATTTGCAGCGCCATTAAAAGCAAAATATTATTGAAAACTAATTCAGAAAATTAAAAAATTTGTAGGAATATGTTTGAAACATTTTAAACTTCAATTTAAATTAAATGAATAATTTGAAAATAGTTTCAATTTTTGGAAAATTTCTAATATTTTCCATCATTTTGTATTGTTATGTGAAGGAAATTTCAATAGAAGTTCGATTCGAATTTGCTTGGCTTCTATATCCAGAACACGCTCAATTGATGTTGTTGGAGATTTAATTAATTGTTTCAAGGCAATTATTATTAAAAGACTGTTAAGCTAACTTTGAAATTAATATTCCAAGTTAGTTCTTCAGAAAAGCTCAGAGTTGTTATTATTTTTGATGATGGAAATAATAAACTTAAGAAATTCAATGAATTTCGCTGCACATTTTTAGTCAGACTGTCCATTATTTAATAGAAAAATGGTTTAACGTTGACTTCCATTGCAATTAAACTGTTTTATTTGTTATCTTTTTAAAGACTTATGATTTCTGCAAGTCCATAGATCTTGTCAACGCCTCGTGCAGGTTACAAAACGTAGCTTTCCTGCTAGCCTTTCCATTTTGGTGTGCTATCGAAAGGCATCTTAAGTAAACGCTACCTCATAAGTAGACTGGCAGTCGGGCAGCCAGACAGTTCAAGAAAAAGAAAAATCAAAAAGAAACGCTGCTGCGCCAAAGCGAACATCATATCGTATCTCAAAAACGAAACGCGCCCTAATGATTCTAATCAACGACGTCTGCTCGAAACTGTTAATTACAAGGCAGCGAAGGCACGTCCGTGGCAATTTCCAAAAGTAGCGCAACGAACGATTTGCGCATCCAATGCCAGTTGCGGCACAAAAGGCTAAAAACCCGAAACTAAAACCAAAATCGAAAAACCAACACAAGCACAAGCGCAAGCGGACCAAAAAATGTTGGTCAAAAAAGTGTGGCCAAGACATGAAAGCTACAACTTTTAACAACTGCAGCAAACGACAGCAATCAGGCGTCCGACGAGGCACAGCGATTGCGCATTCGCAGTCGGAGTGGCAGTCGGAGTTGCAGTTGCAAGCATCGAAGATGCGCCAGCTCCGCTACATGTCGTCAACGTGCTGAAGGAGGCCAAAAGCAGAAGATCTAGTAAGACTATACCCGGTATTTTACTACCGCGATCGTCGTGTCTCCCACAATCAAGAGAGGCGAGCAAACATTGCGACTAGACCGTGGAGTGGGGCGCGGCTGCGGCTGCGGCTGCGATTCGAGGCGAGAATGGGGATGCGGCTGGTTATGGGTGTGGGGAGGCAGCGATTGATCGGCTGCAGTTTATGGACTCATGCAGCCAATTCAAATGCAATTGTGGGCAAGTCTGGGACAAGATACACCACGAACTAGCATTTGGGGGAGCGAAGGGGCGGTGGGGGACCACACGCCCCCTCAACGAAGAGGGCCGGCATGGTGGGGACGTTGGCGCGACACACACAACGTTTGGAAATTGGAAAATTATTTTGCAGTGCTAGCCAGCTAGCCAGCTAGCTGCTTGTCGTCGCTTGGCTTTTGGGACACACTGACCGAACGACCGACCGACCGATCGACCGACCAACCAACCAACCAACCAACCAGCCGACTGGTCGACCGATCGACCATGGCCCATGCCTGAGCAGTCGCTGTGGCTTGTAAGTAAGCGACATAAACGAGTGTTGTATTAATGTTCATAATGTGGTATCTCGACGTCAATAAACGTCGCTGTGTTTTGTGCTTAGACAGACGGACAGATGGACAATCGTACGGACGACAGACGAACAGATAGACGTGCGCTTGGACAGCTGCTTGACATGAGCAGCGATCGGTTTGACAAACGAACGACACACATGGAATGGCTGGGGCAGCGGAAGAGTTTGAGGTGAAGGCGAAGGCGACGGCGACACACGACTTGTCAACGATGTGGACTTGTTGCAACCGCAACTGTTAAGCACAGATGTAGAGAGTTGGCTTCAAGCTGCTCCCAAAGCTGCCAGCTGTGACACATTTGCATATTTCAGCGCAGTTTTCATTTACCATAGGGTATACTATAGCTAAAGTTAAAATTGTAGCTAAAAACACTCTGAATGGATATATATAATCAGCATTATTAAAGAAATTAAAACAAACATGCTTATCTGTCTGTGCGTTCATCTGTTCGAGCGTCTGTATGTATGAACCTCGACAACATTTGAAACCTAACAGCTAGGATTACAAAACTTGGCGTGTAGACTTGTCCAAACCATATGCAGACCAAGTTTATCACAAACCCTATATAGCCTCATTATTTATGCAACTGCCATAGGAATGATCGGTGCGAAAATTCTTAGTTTTGAGTTGAGTTTCTAAAATTATCCATCTGTAGCTGAATTGAGAACAGATCTTAAAGCTGCCATAGGAACTCCTAAATATTAAATCCAAATTGGAAAGTCAGTACTCCAGAACTTATAGCTGTCAAAGCAATTATTATTCAATATGTGGGGCAAGATCAGGGTATTGGAAAGTCGGGCTCGCGTATGTTTAACGTTTTACTCATTTTCTATGACAAACTTATGTAAACACTAGACGACTTATTAAACTTAAAATTAACTTAGCCATTATAAAAATAAATACAGAATTTTGTGTGTTTTAAAATCATATTTGCATACACATTATTTATTCCAGTCAATTTTTTGTAGGATTGTAAAAATAACGAATAAAACTAAATTCAAATGCATATTTATATAAAAGACCCATTTGCCATATTAGTTCGTATATATTTAAGTAATATTTGCATGTGTGTTAAAAATTGACAGGTGCAGATGTCATGTGTTGTGTGTGTTTGAGTGTATGTGTGAGTATATATATACATAAGTGGGTTTGTGTGTGTGTGTGTGTGCAGCGTGCAAGTTGATCCCAAAGTCCAGAGTTGATGTCAAGCGATTTAACATACTGGCGATAGTTGTTTTTCTTTCGGTGCTCTTTTATTTAAAAATAAACAAAAAATGCAAATTAGTAATGAAAATCAAAGAAAATATAATGCGAATTAAAAACTGTGAGGTGGAGCTGCTCTTTTTTAAAGACAATCAGCTGAACAGACAGTTTTTAAGTGGATTTATGTCTTATTCGGGGCCAGTGATTGTGAAAATGTGATAATATTCAATACTTTTCAAAATCACTTCATTCAATCAGTGGCCCAAAATATTCATTTTATTGCTTGAGACCTTAATCAGCACAATTTGATTTGTTTCATCAAACTGTGTTCATCATTTTAAGATCCCAAAAGGACTTTTTTTTTAATCCCAAACAGAACTAAGAAAATATTTGTTCAACAAATTTTTTATTAGTTCTGTAAGGTTTTTTTTAATGGTTTAGTATTATTTTTGGGAATTACAAAATGAAATAAACGATCGTATCAGTTTAATTTCAGATCCAATACAGAGTGAAATAATTTGTTAAGTAATTATTTGAAAAACTCTGCAGACTATTGTTAATAGTTAATAATATTATTTGCAGATTACAAAGAGAAATAAGCGATCCTATATTATATATATGTTATCAGAAAAATGAGCAATCGAACAACTTGAAACTGTTAAATATTGTGAGTATTTTCAGAGATGTTTTACGAGGCAGCAATCTTTTTGCTTAAAATTATTTCCTAATTGCGCAATCGCTTTTCAGCCTTTGTATTTTATCAAGGCCTGTTTTCTACCGTTTAAGCACGAAGAATTGTTTAGGAACTGTTTACACGACCAATTCTTTCACCATATGTTTTTGCTTAAGTTTGAGAGCAAGCTATTCGAAAATTTTATTGCCTTATGCCTATAAGTAAATCACATGATTGGTCAATGGACCCATTCACCAGTAATTTTGATGAGTGATTTGGGAAGTATTTTTTGGAACCGTTTACACGACCGCATTTGTCACGAGACTTTGTTTGAAATGGTTGAACGCGGAAAACTTCTCAGTGATGGTATCATGTGTGAATGTTTTTCAAAGACGACTCAGTTCTTTTAATCAGTTTTTACAACAGCAATTTTTCTGTTATTTATCAATGATACCTATATTTCAATTGATATACAAAAGAGTGACACATAGCGTGCGAAAAACTCTTCATTGTTAATCAAGATACCATCAATAGAGGTATAGAGAGTATGAAAATGTTAATGTTTCATAAATCCCATTTCAAGTACTTGAAACCTATGTATATAAACAAGATACACGCTATAAGGTTGTAGCTCAAAAGTAAATTAGTTGTTTTAATTAATTAGTTGGGTTTTAGTTTTCTGTGGCAAAGTGCTGTAAACACTTCCCAATGGTAAGGAATGGGAAGTGTGAAGAGGACTTTAAAATGTTAGTAACGATATATGTGTAAGAAGAAGCAACAATTATTAAATAAAAATACTGAATATGCATAAAGAATATGAACGTTCAGTCGCACCTCTAAGAAGCAGCTCGAATAGTCTGTTTCTCAGTTTCGAAATTAGTATCGGGATTAGTCACGTTAATTAATGGTTTGTTAGGCAAATCGAAAAACATAAACTATGTTAAATAATGCACTTAAAACTAGTCAACAAGCGTAAAGAATTAGTAACAAATGAGAAGTAAAAACACAAGCCAAGATTATTTTTCTTTTTAAAAACAGCAACAGCAGCATATATTCTGAACACTTTTTCTTCCTTTCATCCGATTCTTTGTTTGAATTTTTTGGTAAAGTTTACGACTATTCTAAACTAAACTAAACTAAACTAAATGTAGGCTTAGCATAAGGCAATAAATACATACTCGTACATACTATAAATAGGCAATAGGCACTAAACTATAAACTATTAATTACATAATTAAGTTCACACGAATTTACAGTTACTAATACAAAGGACTAGCCTATTGCTATAAACTACCAGGACTGGGCAGGGGGAGTCTGTGCCTCGTTCTGAGATCCTAAAGACAGATTAGAGTCGAGTTGGGTCGAGAACTACAACTGCCACCTACTGCCGAGGCTATATGGCGAGTATCTATAACTCGGACTACCGAAGGAGGCGCTATTGGCGGCAGCCGCTGCTGCCGCGTGACTCACGCCAAAGGGTGTGCTATGATGGAACATATCGAAGGCCGAGCCAAAGGCAGAACGCGGTGGTGTTTGATAAAACATCGCCGCTGTGGCAGCAGCAGCGGCAGCAGCCTGTTGTTGGTGTTGTTGTTGCTGCTGTTGCTGCTGCTGCTGCGCTTGCTGTTGTTGTTGTTGCTGCTGCTGTTGGCTCGACGTTTGATATGTTGGAAAGCTGCTGCTCATCGTGCTAGCCACGCTGGCAGTTGTGGTTGCAATAGCGGTGGTTGCTGCATTACTCAGCGGCGAGGCGGTTAGATTGAGGGAGGACGAACCGCTTTGCGATTGAGTAGGCAACGAGGCGCCCAGGCCGCTGCTATTGTTGTGGCTATTGGTGGTGCTGGATTCGCCGCCGGAAGTCGAGGCGGTGGTGGTGGTGGAGGTGGGAGCGACTACGCCAGGCGAACGATAGCCCGCATAGAGGCTGGCCAGCAGATCGACATCTGAGGCATTGGATTTGGCGCTGGATGGCGCACAACTGCTAAAGGCCGAGGTGGCCGAGGGCACAATGCTCTGGCCAGTGCCCGAAACTCTGGCCGGTGCCTCGCTGCCCAATTGCTGCTCGGCCTGCTGCACTGCCGCCTCCACGCCGGCCACGCTCTTCATGAAGGCGGCCAAATGCAGCGTGGCGGCGGACGTTTGCGGCTCTTGGGCTTGGGACTGTGTGTCGTATTTCAGACGATTCAGTTCATCCAGATGATCACGCACCAGGGATAATACATCCTCGTTGAGCGACTCCGGCGATGAACCAGCACCTGTGCCGGCGGTATCCGACGCACTTAGCTTAACGAGCAACCCTGAAACTTTGGTTAGCAGTGCTGGCACATCCTTGTACAGAATGTCCAGCAACTTACCGGTGGTGAAGAGCACGATCGCCTTGAGGCAGGAATATTCCGCCGAGTCGACATGCAGCGCCTTCAGCTTCTCCACCTGCTCCTGGAAGATGCGTATGTGATCCATGAAGGCAACCACACGATCGGCGGCCATTGGGGAGGCATGCAGACCGGCGGCAGCCAACAATGGCGCCACATGCAGCGGCATCGAGCACTGACTGGCATTCAGCACAAACAGTTCCGACCACACGAGACGTAACAGCGCCACCTGATCGGTAACTTGCAGTTCGGGAAAGAACGGTATATTCTTGGCCCATTCGACGGCAGAGAAGAGGAGACGGGCGGCCAGCTCGCAAATGTTATCGATGCCCATTATATTGTTGGGCTGCATGCATTGGCCGTAGCGTGAGGTCGGATAGGGTTCGGCGCGTAGCAGCAACGAAATGTAGGAACTGAGGTACGAGTGACCATTAAAGCCGGCCACGCCCATGGGATCACCGTTTCCCAGCTGATATTGGCCGTGCATGCCCGCCAAGCCGGGCTGCGTGGGCGGTACGCGGCCCCGTTGAACAGCTAAAAAGAGACAGAGAAAGAGATGGAGATATGTTAGTGAATCAGTGAGAAATGGAGTCGTAGCACCGTAACCTAATATCCTGCGATCTAACCCAACAAAGCCGGCTATTTTGACCGCGACATCACACGCCACACAATGTCCTGCATTCAGATGAAGCGCGCGCTGTTTGCAAAGCTGCGTCTAAACGCTGCCACGACGCACAATGCCTATCAGGCAACCTCAATCTTGACGCACTCATTGTGTATCTTTATCTATACGCGTCTCTGTGTGTGAGTGTGTCTGTGTGCAAATCTGGCTTTTGTTGCCTAGACGAGACGACAACGTCATAAGATACTTTTATACTAGCACTTCGTCCCTAACAGTCGTCGTCGCCCAACACCCCGTCCCATCCCATCCCAGGCCCGACTCGGACGCATTTCCAACCCTTTTGCGTTGTTGCCACAACTGCTTAGTTATGCAAATTTCCTTAAATAGTTTCAACGCATCTTTAAGATACACGTGTGTGCGATTTTACACACATATGTACATATATGCGTGTGTAGTTGTGCTGCCCCTTGATATCCAGTTTAGTTTCAAATTTATATACTTAGTAGGTACTTAGATTAGTTGCGAATTCAATGCTCATCTGTGGTTGAATATTTTGAGCAGAAATTTAATAGTATTTGCGCGCATCCGATTTCCTAACTCAGCCCGAAAAACTATACTTTAAGAAAGTACAGTTATTGGCTGAATTTTCTATTTCCCCCTTAATATCATTAAACGTTTAAAAAAAGCAAAGAGGTCGAAAAATAGTTATTTTTAAATTTAAAACCATTTTTTAATAACGTATTGATTTCAACATTTTAGTTAGTCGAAATAAAAGGACTTCGAAAATAGCTTCCCCATTTGTTTATAATTTTTGAATGTTAAAGAATTATAAACTATTATTTAAAACTATTGTTTGGAGCATGTTTTTGTTTTCTGTCTTGAGAATTGTTTGTTGTTGATTTGAAAGTTTCTTAATTGAAGAATTTTAAAATAAAGTTGTTGTTCATAGTTTTGCGCTGAACTTTCTGTATAACAGTTTTTAATATTTATAAAAAGTCATTTTATCATTGATTTTCATTTTTTGAAATAAATTTTTCGAAATTAAAAATAATTTATGGGGAAACTCAAACCCAAAGCAAGGGAGTTTTAAATTTGTTGACTTTTCTACAATTATTTATTCAAAGAATTAAACATTCTTCAAAACTAGTCAGCCTTTATAAATCGAAATTAAATATTCTTTTTACATTTATGTTCACAGAAAGTTTTCAGAATATGTAACCATTTATTTAATCATCAGTTTGAGCATTTTCTGAGTTCTAGTAAGCTTTCATAAATTGCACTTAATAGCTTAGATTGATTTTAGATTCTACTTTTTAAGACACTTGCTCTATTTTTGCTTCATTAGATTTTCCAATCACATTTTAAATTTTTAGGCGTGGCTAATTCTCTGATACCCTACCCTTCATTTGACTTTTTCTCAACCTTCAGTACATCATGCTATTGGGTTTATTTCTTTCACACCAAACTGGGTCATCAACAGCTTTGTATTGGAAAAATCTGAACACCCAGCTTAATGAAAAAAAAAAAAAAAAAAAATCAACAAAGAATTCCACACCTAAGCTCAAGTAACACACGTTCGCACACCCAATTGGAATAGGAGAGCTGGCCCCAAGAGCTGGTGCTGGTGCCAGTGCTGGTGCTGGTGGATTTCAAAGCGCCCAACTAAGCATGGACATAATCTGGGGCCGAAATCTGCCAGTGCCGGGGGTCATATTAAATTTGTATGCATGTCTGTTTGTACGTATGAGCACAAATACTATATTCGAGGAGGAAAGACAAAAAATAAATAACAAAAGCAAATGCATTTATATTGTTAGTGGGGCCAGTGCCACAGAGCTAGATCGAGCATTACCATTACTATTATTATTATTATTATTGATCATGCCAAGTGTCGAGGGGTTGGGACCATTGTTTGCGGCTGGCAGGCAAATACTCGTACGAATACACACCACCTGGTTGAGATTCCAGGTTCTCTCTGTCTCTCAAAAAAAAGTAACGTCTTTTGTCAGAAGGAAATCGAAAGCATTTCTGGTCAAGCGCACAAAGGCACAAATTCTTATGCAGTTTTGCATAGATAGGCAACTATACACATACAAACATACATAGATACATATACATATATGTATGTACAAGTATATACAACGAGCCGTGTTTGTTTATTGCTTTACCGTAGCAATTAAGCTGCTGGTCATCAAAGTTAGGGGTTGAAGAAGCATCGGAACCAGTTCCCGCTGCCCACCGACTGACCAAAGTCCAGCGACACAATTATTTACACAATACATTTGCGTAATTGTACAGATACACACACACACACAGATACACACACATGCCAGTACATATCTACATCGATGGGGTGATCTATGCCAAGTGCGCAGGTAGGCGGCTCAACTGGAAGACGTAAGACGGCAAGAAACTGGAAAACTGGTTGCCTGGTGGCTGTGTCCAGTTTTTGACCGACTCTCTGACTGAACGCCGGACATTAGCTTATTTATGCGCCTGGGAAAAAAATTGTCTGTCCGATTTCCATGGCTTGACCACAAGACAGGCCAGGCCCTGGCCCATCCAACTGACCACAAGCTAATCCAAGGAGGCTGCACACAAAACAAACGAACGGCAAGTCCGATTGGCTTTTGCCGCCCTTTTTTTTTCTTTGTTTTCTTTCTCTTCGTTTGTCTGTCTGTGGATGTATTTTAGTGATCGGTCAGATCGACTTGTAAGATTACAGGGCAGCAAAAGCCAAATCCAAAGCCATAGCCACCACAAAAGCGCAGCAGCAGCCTTGTAAGTTTAACCCTTCGGATTGCTGCTCTTCCTGATTACTTAATGAATGAATCTTTGGAAGCACGTGCTCAAGTCTTAGCATACACACACACCTACATATTATGTAATTCAATCTGGCTTGCTGCTCTCGAAAGCGTGCTAAAGTGGCCAACTTAATTGTTAAGCTCAATGGATTAATCAATTAATCGCAGTCAGCTGCTGCTGCTGCTGCGGCTGCGGCTGGCAGGCATAAATATTATTAAAACGAGCATTTGCCATAAGTCCTATTTCCGGCCTCTCCAGTCCAATGCCTTTCACTTTATATTTTCTTTGTTCATTTCTTGACTCTTTGTTGTTATTCGCAAAAGTTCAACATTTCATAGATACTCGTGCGAGAGGTGCTTCTTCTTCTGCCTAAGCTGTCAACGCGTCGACAGTAAAAAGACAAACAGCGACATGTACAGATTTACGGCTATATAGCCACTTGCATTTTTCATTAATTCAGCCAGACACACACACAAAAATATGTATATCAACCATATAGTATATGTGTAACAAACACATACAGTTTAACATTTCAATTATCAACAAAAGTTACGTTTTTTAATTAGTTTATAACCAGTTCTTCATCTCGCAAATCTAATTAATGTGCACAGACTATTTTGCGATGTACTTCGAATTAGTGGATGAGGAAATTTATAACATGTTATTAACACGTTTCTCTAGCTGGGTTAAAGCCTTAAGAGAAAGTTACAGGACATGTGAGAATATTCAAGGAATCTCAACTCTTCAACTGTTGACTATTTGTTGGCCAATTGGAAAAAGTCAATTAAGTGCATTTTTTTCCACACTATAATTCAGAGGAATATTAATAGTGGAAACTATAACTAATTGCTTTTATTTAAATCTAACTATTTCAAATTTGAATAAGCAAATTTTAAATACAATATTTCTGCGCAATTTTCAAAGTGAAAAATTATGTTTCCTTAAATTTTGAATGCAATTTCCCACATTCTTTTAAAATTCAAAATAATGTAAGTGTTAGAGGATACTCAAATTCTTCATATCATTTATATATAAAGGAATAATGTAAGTGTTAGAGGAGTTTGGATTTCTTTATATCATTTAAGTTTCATACATTGTTGGATTATTTTTCTTTAAAGCTTCAAATTAGTATTCTCTTTTGATAAAATTATAATAAAATATGTTTAATTTTAAATAAAAATAAGTGACATTTTAAAATTGAACATCAATGGGCAATGTTTTCTAAGCTATTTTAACTCTAAGAATAAACCATAATCGTAGCAACTGAATCACAGTAACGTTTTCAAATGCTGCCATCACCTGGCTTTTTTTTAAACATTATCTTAGAATTGTATAAAATCCCCCTTTTCTCCCATTTAACATTTTTAAAGTACTTCTGCGATTTAAAATAAAATTTTCCTACAATTTGGCAGTTGGTTTTCAGTAGAGGTTTTTGAAATTCTACTACTATTTGAAACAAAACTTTTTCAATTTGTCTACTCAGCACTACCCTTGCTCTCAAAGCGACTTCCTTATAATAATTTCAACAATTTCAATGCCATCCGCTTGCCTAGTTTGGTCGCAAAGAACAAGTTTTTCAACTAATTTGCCGGTATTTCAATATCGAGCATTTCTTTGAGCTACATTCCCTCCATCCATCACCATCACCACCCCAATCCCAATGGCCATTGTCCATTCAATTGACACTGGAGTTTAATTAGAGCGACCCGATGTTGATTTTATGCTATTTTTCAGGTTTTTCGTGCCTCAATTTCTTGACCGTTCACATTGGGTCGGAAAGGCACGGCCTTTGGGCCTTTCGTGGCTGTTTTTGTTGTTGTTGTTGTTGTTGGTGTTGTTGGTGTTTGTCCTAAGTACTGCCGTTATGCGTACACATTTTTGGGCAACAAAAAAGGGTGTAGTTTCTATGCAGAAAAAAATAATTTCTCACGATTTTTCAACGCAGATTGTTTGAACTAGTTTTCCATGGAAGTGGAAGTTGGAAGTTGAAGTCGTCCGGCTGGTCATTAACAAATGTTACTCATAATTTTTTGGGCATTCGAGCAAAGGTGTTGAACTTTTTTGCGTTTTATTTAGCTGACAAGTTGTCGGAGACAATGCACAGGTAGCTGGGTGTACTATGCAGCATAAAATTGTGTAGAAATAATAACTTTTAATGGTGAAACAAGTCGAGGAACAAGCAACAGGTAGAAATATATATATACAAGTATATATATATATATATATATATATATATATATATATATATATATATATATATATATATATATATATATATATATATATATATACAAGTATACTATATAGTTGCTGGCCAGACTGTGTGATTACCGCATGCGGTGGCGGTGGTGTATAATTTGTAGTCAAACATTGGCTAAGACTGTGTGCCCAGTTAAGCAAATTTCATATTTTACGCAATCATTGGCTCGACTAAATAAATGTTTATATGCATTTAATTACCAATGCATTGGCGCATGCGCCGTCCCTCCCCTTGTCTAACAGTCTGCGCTGCATTCTTAATTGCCGCATGCAAGTATGCACATATCTCTGTAGTTGTACAAATTATTTTCGTTCTTAACCCAAATCGACATAAACACACACACACACACATACACACAGCTAATACATCTGTTGATTGCTATTAGCATTTGCGAAAAACCTGTCAATATTAGTGCAAATAATAACACACTAACTGCATACTCTGTCCGTCGATCCGATCCGATCCGCACCGAACCGACAACAAACGTTAATTGTTAATGCCGACAACTGTAACTTGCTGGTCAGTGACTACACATTGTCAGTCTGTCACTCACTCAGCAAATCCGTCAGTCAGTTAGTCAGTCCGTCGGTCCGTCGGTCCGTTCGTCAGCTTGTCAAAGCCGCGGGTTACAGTCGCCGATTTGCGCAAAAAATATTTTACAAGTATGCCAAATATTTGCTGTTGTTCAAAAGGTGGTTTAAAAATTAGTTACATATTGCCTTTTGGGTGCGTTTGATTAACTGACAAATAGCTTGAGAAGTCAATGAATAAAACAATATACACTGCAATAACATTTTGTTATCAGAAATAACAAATTAATTTCAAGTATGGCAGAAAATTCAAAAGCTAAATAATAATTTGGAAAAAAGTTTATGGCAAAATATTTGCTCGAAACCATATAAAATTAAACAAATTTTCTTCAAGTTTCTTGTTATTGAAAAATGTATTTTAATTTTGCTTTAAAAATATCTAAGATTTTAGGAAAGTTAAAAATTGTTTCTTAAAAATAAACGAGCATTTTAGGGAAGTTAAATATTGTTTCTTGTACTCCTATTCTCAATTTGTTTTAGCAGTAAAAAATATTATAAAATTTCCCAAAAACACATTTCAGCAAATTAAAGTCGTTGTCTTTAAAAAAAGAAATTAAATTTGGCACCATTTGCAAAAATTGTTTTAAATAAGAATATAACATTTTTCAATAAACCTCCCAATAAATCAAATTGTTTTGTGTTTGGTAACATCTTTCTAGCATAATCATGCCAATTATTGTGTTTTTCTTTCAGTGCTAATATCGATTTAATTACCTTTAATCAATCAAAAGGCGGTGTCTATTAAATGTAGGAAAAAATATTCCATATGTGGCAGAAAAAAGTGTCGACATATAAATTACAGTGCTGAGCCAATTCTAATATAAGCCGCAATTTGACTTTTGCTGGAAATATTTCTGTATTGTTGTTAGTGTTGGTGTTGCTGTTGTACACTTTTTTAATTATTAACGAGCGAGCGAACAAGTTTGCATTTGATCTTTAAGGTCAATAAGTTGCACTCAATGCTTAATTGTTTTTTATTATAGGTTTTTGCTTTCGGCCCCGACGCGACTGAGACTGCGACTAAATGCCATGCGTGAATTGCCACGAGCCTGAGACTGAGCTGGATTGTTGCCTCTTATTTATTTTGTTTGGCTTGTTAGTCAGATGACTGAACAATACGAAAAAGAATAGCAACAAAAAAAAAAAAACAAAGTGGAATAAAGACGGCAGTGGGTCAATGTTTGGTGGTTGACTGAATGCGTGTGCGCCGCCGCTTATTGAGTTATTTGCAAGAGATATTGCGCAATATCACAAAGTGATTTGAATTGCAGCTTTAAGCTGATATCTGGTTTAAAATGGGAGCAGAGCTTTCTCTGAATGCCAAAATGTGAAGGGGGAATAAGTTATATAAATTAAATAAGACTGCAAATATTTGATTTAAGACAAGAACTTTTGCGTAAATTCCTGAAGCTTCAAATCTCTTAAAAGAAGATATAAATTGGGCATAAAAAAAAGAGAAGTCTTAAGCGATAGAGGAGCAGTGTTTGAAAATAGAGACCTGACTATTAGATAAAAATTTACAAATGCGATTCAAAAATTTGGGAAACTCCATATACTATATGTTAAAAAACTGACAAATACGCAGTGTTGTAGTTCGAATGGAATTTGTTCGTCCCTAGTTCAAGGATCCTATTAATCGTTTTATACATGTCTAGCTCAGAAGACACAGCTGCTAGATTGGGTTAGAAGTATGAAGTTTTCCTCGTCAATATTGTCTAAAAATGAATCAAGTCTCTTCGGTCGTGCAGGGATTTTAGTATTATTTTCCTCGAGACATACGTGTAGGCTTAAAGAATTGTTTTAGTTGACAATAAGTATTGATTAAAAATTAATCTTTTTTTTTTAAATATTATTTTCAATGTTATTTCAGTTTTCAATTAAGCCTTTATTTTGCAATAAAATGTATAAATGATTGAAATCTTCAGGCATGTGCTTTCTATTACTCTTAAGAAATCAGAGCAAAATTTTTACAAAATAAGCGTTAAAAAGTTATGCTCGGATCGATTAATAACAGTGTGTAGCTCTGTTTTGAAATTTTTTTAACTGCATGCAGCTTTTCAACACCTTCTGTTTTTGAATGCTTGAAAGCTGGTTTTGTTAATACTTGTGCCTAAATTTAGTTTTTATAAAATGCTTGCAAATTCTTCTTCTAGCTTTTTTTGGCACTTGCACTGGGCATGGCGATCGAAATAACTGAACCATCACCAAAATAACCCAACCAACCCACACTTGTCACCCCAAAGTCACTTTGCTAGTTGGCCATTGGCCGTTGGCCGTTGCCTCTCCGTCTGAACTCAATTGTATTTTGTGCGAATGCCTAGCATGTGGCATTTAGCCGTCTCCCACTGTCCACTGCGACTAAGTAACGAATGCCAATTCGGTGGCAAATAAATTTGTAGTCGTGTGCTACTTCCGTTTCTGCTATTGTGTCTTTGAGGGTCTAATTTATTTATTTGTGCATTCGTGCTGCCTCAGCGTTTGACTTTTAATTGACCCAAAGCCCAGAGCCATCAACAGGCCCCTTGTAAGCGAACATACAAGTATTGTAGTACAATTGTTGTTTATTACGAGCAAGTAGTACGCGTAGTGTGTAGTGTGAAATATTTTTGTGGACTTACCTTCGCGTCGCATCCCCATTTTGAGGCACTTTTTCAAACGGCAATATTGACACTGGTTGCGATGGTGCTGATCGATCGGACAGTTTCTGCTGCCCCGACAGGAGTATGTGAGATTGCGTCGCACCGAGCGTTTGAAGAATGATTTGCAGCCTGCAAGCAAAAAGTAAAGGTGTTGTTCTTCAATTAGAAATCAAATAAGCTTAAGAATTGAATGCAAAGCGCACTTAAAACTCGATACTAAAAAAAAAAAAAAGAAACCGAAAACAATCCGAACAAAATGCATTTTTATCGCGCATTTCGAATCGCCAGAGAAAAGTGTCGGCGCGTAAACTTGTTGTTGTTGTTGTTGTTGGTATTATTGTTGTTGCTGTTTGGTTTCGTGTGCTTTCATGTTTTTGCATACTTTATACGTTTGTACAAAGCGTTGTTGGTTATGCAAATAATTTCATTTGTTTTCGGCATTTCTGACAGTTTTATGAGTTTTCTGCACAAAACGAAGAAATTGGCATGTCTCGTGCCTTTACTGCGAATCGCTTATCACGGCGTGCAAAGAGAAATGCCATATAAGTGGAGAGATATCGAAAGGAACAACATGAACAGCAGCCCAGTGGTCGGAGCTTGTGGCGAACATTTTTGCATCACTCTTGAAACATGGTGTGGACAAAAGACTTTACAAAACTGTTACCAAATAAGCAAATGAAAGCTCCACAGTTTGTGGCTTAAAGCTAAGGTGGTTTCATTAAATGCTGAGAGTATATAGATATATATTTTTAGATACTTTTAATGCACGACATTTACTACAGACAGTGTACATTTGAAGCCAAGTATGTATTTAAGCATTTATTTTATTTATCATAAATGAAACAAATAAAGTTGCAAGTTTATTTAACCAATTTAATGATTGTCCACGATGGACTGTTTTAAATAAAAACACTCTGCTAAAAAAAAAACAAAAAAAAATAATTACTAACATACAAATTTATTTGAATATGATTGAAATGTGAATTATATTCATTTTTATTTGCCTTGTGCTTGCTAATTTTGTTCATAACCAAAGAGATACATCAACACTAAAGCCTTGAATAGGGTATATATGAAAAGCATTTATATTGGGGTAGGGAAAAAGATAATAATAAAATAATGACTCAATTGTTTGAAAGCATTTAAAAAAAACAACACTCATTTTGTTAACAGTAGAGCCACGAATGGTATTCAACATTTACATTTGCTCATAAAATGCATACATCTGTTCATAAAATAAATAATTCATGGTTGTAAGAAGTCTTCTAATAATTCTTTATAGTAGTTTCTAAATCTTAATGCAATATTAAATGAAAAGCAAAAGCATAGAGGAAATCAACACCTCAATACATGAATGACATTCACATTTAAGGAAAAACTTATTAATGTTTAATTACGAATAAAAATACTATTCACTTAAAGCATTTAAAGAAAAGGCAAATCAACACTCATTTGTGTAAAAGTACTTTTTGATATGAATATGAATATTCAATTGCTTGAAGGGAGTCAGAAAAGGCAAATCATCACTCATTTGTTCAGTTGTGAAACCATTTTTCGTTATAAACTATATCGATTACTATTTGAGATGAATATTCAATTGCTTGAAAGCAGTCAGAAAAGGCAAATGAACACTCATTCAGCATGCATCATCTTCTCTCAATAAACTTAGCATCTTCACTTTTGAATACAATACTATTTCGCTGAAACTCGAACAAGTTTCAATGCAACTACTTAGAAAAAACAAAAACAAGCTCTCGTGAATTTTCACCTCAAACGCTGTACGACAAGCACAACAAATTCCATGGCACCCAGTGCTACAAAAAATTGTTACCACTTGTAAAGCAAAGTACCAAAGTACCAAAAAAAAAAAAAAACAAAAAAAATAGGGAAGTACGAAACAAGCTAGCAAATGCGCCAAGTTGCGCTTCACTTCAAGACACTGTCGTCTCTTATGGTGGCTTGTTGTGATGCTGCTGCTGCTGCTGTTGTTGTTGTTGTTACGGCTGATGTTGTTGTTGTTGTTGCTGTAGCTGTTACTGCCACTGCTGTCGTTATTGTCGTAGTCCCAGTCCGCGCAGCTGAGCTTATGTCAATGGTCATGTTACACGTTTCATGGCTTAACGCCTCCCATAAAATTACCTTTAATGGCTTTCAATTAACAAAGTGTATCTTGAGCACGAAAGATACTCGCTGGCTGCCTGACTGAAAAGCTAAAACTTTAGCCCAACTGCGCCAAATCAGCAGCAAACCAGCAAACCAGCAGAGCAGCGCCAAGTTCAAGGTACACGAAAACAAAGTTTCATATTGTGCGGCAGAGGAAGCTGACTGGTGAGGCGCTTTGGGGCGCTTCACGACGAATTTACTGTTAAGGAGTCACACACAACAGGGGCAGAGGCAGTGACAGTGGCAGAGTATCGACTGTCCACGTCAGCGTCAGTCGTGGGTACTTAGGCACTCTGATATACTTAGCGAGCAGTCGTTTAAACACAAACACACCCACCCATGCACACACAGTTTTATGTCGCCAACATATCTAAACATGTGTATCACTCGGCCAGAAATTTGTGCCAAAGAGGCCTGCGGCTTAGATTCGACTTTCTGCTTCTCTGGCTGTGTTATTTCGAATCAATTTCTAGTTGACTGGGCTTGAGTCTTCAATCTCCAACCTCGAACGTTCAACGCATGCGCGCCACACAAATTTCTCACAATAACTCAAAAACAATGGCATATGCTCATAAAATTCGTTTTAAGCTGTAAAATCATCATCAAACAAAATATGTAAGTACGCTGAACGTTTTTATGCCAAGCCAGATCATGGCTGGGACCGGGACCCATACCGATTTTTGCCAACAAACACACAACTTTTCCAATGCGCCTCTTCGTCTATCCCATGGGCCAGTCGTCGCTCAGTACGAGTATCTTTCAGTACGTTGCGGTCGTGTGCCCAAACGGCAACAGAAACAACAAAAACAACAACAACAAAAAGGCAAAGAACGTGGCCAGCAAATTGAAACTCATTGTGGGGGAGTGCGTCGTCGGAACAGCGATGCTCTACTGACGAGCTTGAGGTTTATTTTTTATTTTTTTAATTCATTTCTATCAGTCAAGAAAGGATACTAAAACATTTAAGCAAACTTTCATAAATGCTTACGGGGGAATGTGTATTTTAGAAATAAAATAAAGTTATAAATAAAAAAAAAAATTTTAAATAAAAATAAAAGTCAACAATTCTGAACTTTAAACTAAATGATGTAGCAACAGAGCCATTGAAAAATAAATGAGAAAAGTGGAAAAAATAAATATTATAACATTTCCAGCATTGAAGAAAGCAGAAAATGTCAGATTATTATCTTTCATTACAGAATTACAAATAAATACAAATTATTGCACAAATGAAAAAGCTTTTTTCATCCACGCAAGAAATTAAATAAGTCTGAGGATTACAAGTTTTTATATCGAAATTAGCAAAGATAAAAAAATGATTTAATATTTAATCTTGGATATGAAATCAGAGAAATAATAGCAAAGAGTCTTTGATTCAGCCAAGGAAAAATATTTTGTCAATAGTCTGAGGCACAGGAACTGCATGAAATGGGGGGAAAAAAGTGAGAAATTTTTATGAAAAAATATTAAATATTTAATCTTGTATATTAAATGAGAAAAACAACAAATAATTCTCGAATCTGGTCGAGGACAAATCATTAAATCAAATGATGAGGTTTATAAATTGAAATAAATGTGCAAAATAGCAAGAAACTTGTATGGGAAATATTTAATTTTCTTAGAGAAATTTAAAGCAAATTAAATAAAAAAGGAAAATAAAGCAATGTAGAAGAAAATTCATTAAAAACCCACTATTAACCAAAACAAAAAAATCTAGAAGAAAATTCATTCAAAACCACTATTAAACACAAGTTTGGGACACCGAAATGAAACAAAAAAACAATAAATTAGGCAAGAATTGTTTGCTCAAATAAAGTCCTCAAATAATATAGAATCCATGTAAATTATACAAAGCTCCACCTTAGCATGATTTGTATTCGGAAGAGTATGCAATAATTGAAGAGACCTATCGACAAAATTCTGCTTTCCCAGCGTACTAGACAAACCTCAGTCCAAAACTAAACAACAAACATCTAGGAAATATGCACACACACACACACACACACAACAGCAAAAACAACAACAACAACAGCTAGCACACACTTAAGCCTTTACACCATATGATCTACGAATAACGATATTGTACCAAGTCACGATTTCTGCCAAAACGTACCGTTGCCTTTTTATACGCCAGCACCACCATCGTTTTTCTCTTTTCCACCAAAACCTTAACAGCGCTGCGCTTTTTCGCTGCTGCTGCTGCTGCTGCTTTTGTTGTTGTTGTTTCTGCACAACGATAGAGGGACAGACGGACGGACGGACGGACGGATGGACAGCCAGACAGGCAGACAGAGAGACCGCAACGTACCTTAAACCAAAAAAAAAACAAAAAACAAAAAACGAACTGCAATGCAAGGCTGCCCATATGGGCATATCTCGGCTTTATCTGGAGCTACACATAAAGCTCAACGTCGCGACGAGCGCGTCGCTGTCGTTGTTATTGATGAAGATACTCGTAGTCGTACTCGTACTGGTACTGGTACTGGTACTCGTACTGGTAGTGGTACTCGCAGTTGTAGAGATGCGATGCTCTCGTGCCTGGACGCTGTTGACGACGACGATACCGTAAACAAAATCTGCGCCTCGGTCGAAGCTTTAAGGGGCGCGCAACGGCGGCATCGGCGGGATATCGTGTTATATCAATAACCGAAAAAGGGTGGATCGCCAGCGAACGGTGCGCCTCGGTCTGGCCAGTTTATGAATACGTACGTGCATGGCGTAGTAGATAGAGTTGATAGTCGGACAGTAAGACAGTCAGTCCGTCAGTCAGAGGCAGAGCCAGAGCCAGATGCATAGATACAGCTGGCTTAGTGCTAGATGTTCGTCTCTTGCCTGGCGGGGGGAACCCCAGGGGGGCGGTTAGTGCGAATGAAGTTTGAAGTTGAGCGAGGAAGAAGAAACCCTAGAACCCTTTAATTGCTATGGCTTCATACATAAGCCCCATAAGCGCTGACCAGGCCTGTTTA